CTCCAAGTTCCTTCCCCAGGAACCACACTCAGCACCTCAGCATCAATCTGCCATAGCTTTGAACTGTGTCTGTGAGCGCTTTACCTAGATTTTTTCTTTTTTTGCGCATCTGTAAGCAAGATGTGTCCTAAGGTAATTGCTTCTTCACTTTATGCCATTTTGGCTTAGGAAAGGTTTCATAGGAACTCTCTACTTTCAGATAGCAGGGGGGAACTTGTATATGGATGTCCGTGAACCTACAGACACTTAAGGGAGTAGGGACCTGTTTTATACTTTTTATAAGCAAAACATTCCATACAAGAACAATCCAGGGAAAAGCTCCATTTCACTCTCAGCTGTGCATTGGTGCTACAGTTAAAGTGAAATGTTCATTCTCTTGCCCTTTCCCGTAAGATCTTTAATAAGAGAAAATATTTTAAGAGAATACCAACAAAATTTTTCCAAGGATTGTTTTAGTCACCACTGCTTTTTTAGTATCATCTTGTCTATACTAGGTAATGACTTTCAAAATGCAATCAAATTTATTTCCTCTCAAATTACATTTATATCAAGGATAAAATTTTAAGCAGACAGGGTGACAAAGTTAAAGAACAGCTGGAATTTTGAAGCAAGTTTTGTGTTCAAGGTATTGTGTTGGACACCTTAAAATATATTATCTCATTTTATCCTAACAAAGACTCTTGAGAGGTGCATGCTATACTCTAATTCACAGACAAGGAAGATGGAGCTCAGAGAAGCAAGCATTTCCCCAAAATATATACACCTTAGACCTACACTGTCCAATATGGTAGCCTGGAGCCACATGTGGCTGTTGAGCAACTGAAATACAGCTAGTCTGAACTGAGATGTGCAGTAAGTGTAAACTGAACACCAGATTTTGAAAATTTAGTATGAAAACTATTAAAGTATCTCAATTTTTGAATACTGATTACACGCTGAAATGACAATATTTTAGATAGAGTAGGTTAAATAAAATATATTATTAAAATTAATTTTACCTGCTTCCCATTTTTTACAAAAAATCAGCTAGTAGACATTTCAAAATTACACACATTGCCCACAACTATATTTGAATTGAAGAGCGTGACCCTAGACCAAAGGGTGGATTGCTGAATTTGCCAGTAAACATCAAGGTCAAAGGCAGCGTGGTACAGAAGAAAAGAAGAATACGTGGATTCATGCAGATCTCGGTTTAAATCTCCTCTCCACCAATGACTAGTTTTGGGCGAAATACCAACCCTCTCTGCACTTCACTTATGTCATCTGCATTATGGTAATATTAAATATCCCCAAACAACTGTTGTATAGAATATGTAAAGCAGTAACTGGCAGAGGGGAGAGAACAACTACGAATACCTCCTACAGCAACTGATTAATTTAAAAACTGATTCCCAAAAAGAGAAGAAAATTCATTTATTTGAAAATCCCATTTTATTCTCTTTAAGTGGGAAAAGTTAAAGAAGCAACACATTGAATGCCTGCTTTACCATAATATGTGCATGATATATACTGTCTTGTAAAATACATAGTATACACAGATTCCTTCTTTCTTTCAACGTTGTTTATAATATGCTATAGGCCGGGAGGCCAGATGATGAGATTAGGGTGAAGTAAAAAATACCAGGACACAGAAGGGCCCAAGCGGTTCTTAAGGACACAATGGATGAATTCCAGTGAAAGAGTTTATGAGCTACATACACTTCAGCTGGTCTTTTCAACTTTTACATCAGGAACTGAGACTAGTGAGTAAATGACATCTGGGCAAATAGAATTTTACTCTTTTTTTTTCTTCCTGGGTCACAGTGCAAACAAATAAATTGTTCCAATACACTACGTTTAGACTAACTCATTATTAGTAATCTCTACTAAATCATAAGAAACTACAAAATCATATGGACTACACTATCCAATGACATTTTACCGTATTCTGTCTGCTAGGCTTGTGTCAAGAAGTTCGCCCTGGGCATGTGACTTTTATCAATGCATGTATTATCTGTATATGTTTAAATATAAAGGGTGGAGGAGTTGGGGCATTTACTTTATTATTTGATGTATGTATATGGCCTAAGATTGACATGTGACAATGTGTTAGATTGCCCTGTTTTGTATGTTTTTTTTTTTAAGTAGTATGAAAGGGGAATTAAAGATTTGAGCCACTTGAATGTAGCCTCTTAAATATCAGATACATAGTAAATTTAACACCAAAAGTGTTCCTATGTTAACTATAACAATTAACTTTCAAGAAAATGAGACTGAAGAAGTAAGAAGCTATCAGATTCACAGATCTCAGAACACCATGAGAGGCTATAAAAATATCCACTTTATTCTAGTTTGAAATTTAATGGAAGAAGTAACATACCAAATTTTAGGTTAGCTGTTAAAGTGCATATTCAGTGAATTAAGTGGGGAGAGCTTCAGGAGAGGGCCTCCCCTTTGATCTCATACGTGGCATTAAAAATCTGCTTCTTCTAGTGAATTTCTGAGCAACCCCTGAATATATGTGACTTGGTATTTGCTCTTTCAAAGTGAGTAGACTCAAACTGACTAAAAATGAGACTACGTCTACAGTACACTTACAACTAGTTTTCAGCAAATGTCTACAAATTTAGGGTTATAGGTAGAATTGGGTAAGAAAAACAAAATTACACTAAATCAAAATTATTAGCAATTATTAACTAATAATAAGAATCAGACAAAGCAGTAACACGTAAACAGTAATTAGAAAAATTTGCTAAAACTTTGAACTGAGATATTACACTTCTGATGCTTGAAATTATAGGAAAAAATATACTCAATCAACTTAAGAGAAAATATCATAAGCCATTTATGCTACCAGCCATAATTCCAAAATGCACACTTTAGAAAAAAGAGTTCATATCAGGAAAGAGCTTATTTGCATTAACTTTAAATTAGCTAATATCTGAGTCACACCTTTGAAGAAACTTGCATTATTTCCAGGAATGCCTTTTTCCCTCCCTTTTCTTTCTTTCTTTTTTTGTTTTTGAGGGGAATAAGGCAGCTAGACTAAAAAGAAAAAAAAAAGTTAAGTCGCATTCTTTAATGTGAATGGTGTACTTGTGCTTCTATATACTATCTCAATCCAACTGAGCCATGTCTTCAAATAATTTGATAATCTGTCTTTAAAGTTTCATCTTAATTGGAGAGTTCATTTTTGTAAAACGCCTTGGCACCATTCAATCTTTTATGAAACGAGAAAGGTCTCTTTCCTTTGGACTTGACATTTTTAACCACGTACGTGTGAGCAATTTTTGCTGTCAAATACTGCAAAGGTAGGTTTTCTGTTGTTGTTCAATCTGAAAATGTCTCCACTATACTTGCACAGCTGCCCTCTTCCCAGCAGAAACCTACCCGCCCCCTCCCCCCTGCAAGTTTTAAACTTTGTTTCCTTTGGGGTTCTGCACAAGCGCTACTAGTAATATCCAAGAGACAAAGAGCTGTGCTGTGGGTTCACGGGATGCCAAATTTGAGTTGTGAAACAAAGCACTCAAATTTGAGATTCAAGATGAGGAGGAAGATGCTGGTAAAAAAAAAAAAAAAAAATTATCATAAAGCGTAAGATCGCAGAGCCATCTCCCTAGACATCTCCTCCTGCCCACGGCCACCCCAGAGCGCGCGGGAGGGAGTTCTGGCCCCGGGACAGGGGCTGCCGGCCGCACCGCGAAGCCCCCTGCCCGCACCCCCGGCCCTCTCACCGCTTCACTCGGATGATCTGGTCCCGCATGGGCTTGATGTCCTGGAAGCTCTGCTGGTTGACGAGGCTGTAGACGAGAATGAAGCCCTGGCCGTTCTTGATGTACAGGTCCCGCATGGACGCGAACTGCTCGGTGCCCGCCGTGTCCAGGATCTCCAGCACCGACGGCGACGAGTCCACCTCGATCTCCTTGCGGTAGAAGTCCTCGATGGTGGGGTCGTATTTCTCGATGAAGGTGCCGGTCACGAACTGCACAGTCAGGGCGGATTTGCCGACCCCGCCCGAGCCCAGCACCACCACTTTGTACTCGCGCATCGTCCCTCCGCGGCCGCCGCCGCCGCCGCTGCCCGCGACATAGACCTACGCCCGCCGCGCTGCGCGCCCGGACCCTGCGCCGGCGGCCGGCTCCGCCGCCTCCCGCGGCCGCCCCCACCTCACGGCCGCCGCGGCCCCCCGGGCGCCGGCGGAGGGAGCAGCAGCCCTGGGCATGGGCCGAGCCGGGCGGCAATGCGGCACCGCGGGCGCCGGCAGGCACTAAGGGCGAGCAGGGAGTGTGAGTCAAGGAGCCGACGGAGCCGCCCGAACCGCGGGCCCGCAGTGCCGGCGGCCCCGCCCCTCGCGCCTCCACGCCCAGCTCCCCGCCCGCCGCCGCCGCCGCTCTTCCCGGCGCCGAAGCGCGCGCCCGAGCCCGAGCCGCAGCGCTGCTGGGGGCGGGGCCCGGCGGCCCGGGGCGGAGCCCGGCGGCGCAGCCCCGCCCCTGCTCCCCCCGTCGCCTAGGCGACCGGCCGCGCGCGCGCTCCCAGGAAGCTCGGCGCGGCGCGGAAGCCTCCGCCCGCGTTTAGATAAACAGCCACCTGGGTTACCGAACAACACCCCACCCCGTCTGCCCCGTTGAACCCCGGGGCCTGCGTACTGAGCATGCGCAGTTCTTCCTCCTGCGACGGGAGCCGCTTCTATTTGAGAACGCCACGGTCAGAATTTGGCGGAGACAAGATGTTGGAGGGGCCAGAGCAATCTCCAGGTTTTAACATGAGGCGGGGAGAAGATACTGGCAAGGTCCAGACGGAGGCCTTCGCATGAGGGCCTTGCTGGGCACCACCCAGTCTGTCAGCATTCCTGAGAGCTTTGGTTTTATCTTGTATAAACATAAGAAGCTTTAAGGGAGGAGCATAAGTACAACGAAATGCAGCTTTGTTTTAAGCGTCAGGACACTGAGGGAGAAGTGACAGACCCCCATCCAGCCCACTGCCCGAGGCGGCGAAGGCCAGAAACCGCGGAAGCCGGGCCCACGCTCTCTGACGTCGCCGGGGGTCCCTCCCACCTTCCCCAGCCCCGCCCTTCTTCAGTGCCTGATAAAAGTCGAGCTCTTCCCACGCCCTGTCAGCTACGGGCGCCTGGAAAACCGGGAGAGCGGATCCCCCAGCAGCAGCCAGAAGGCCCGGGGACACCTCATAGCAACAGCCAGCCGGGGCATCTAGTAGGAAGCTGGGATTCATTTCAGCCAACCAGCCCGCGTTTTTGGACCCCGTGGTATCATTCTCGACCAATAGAGAGCCGCTTCATGCCACGTGACACTGACCCATCAGCCAATGGAGGAAAAGTCTAGTCGCAGGCTCAGCCATCCCATCTGCCACTGTTGGCCAGGCTGGGCGTTTGCCCCTGCGCACACTCTGCCAACCAATCATAGGTGAGCTGAAGAAAGACGGAGACTTGAGCTGAGCCAACCAGAATTCGCGGTTTCCTTGCCACTAAGGGCTGGTAGTATGGAGAAGGGGAAGAGCTGGTGGGGTCTGGGAGGGGTCAGTGATTGAGGGGTGGGTCGCGGTACCCTATTCGGGCAAAGAAATAGGATGTGTTCCGGCCGAGAGTGATGGATTTCACTTTTAACGTCGTCTCCGTGGCATTCTGCCTAAATGATAGACACGGAAATAGTGCTGAGGGATGTGGGCTGAAAAGTGGGGTGAACTGACAAAACAGGGACTCTTTAGGGTGAGAAAATGTCGAGTCCTTAGACATACAGCAGCAGTTGCATGGGTCCTCCATGCGTGCCTCCTAAAACGTTTTTAACAACTCAGTTTTGAAACTTACTGTTCTCTCTGTGGCATTAGATCTTAATTACACACTCTCTCCCACCCATAACGTCAAATTTAGGAGAAGTTATGTCCCTAAATATTCCTGGATTATATTTTGCAATAACTGGTAATTGGATTTACCTTCCATAAACTATGTCCTTCTCGAACTAGTCTACACCCATCCATTACCGTCTCACATTTCTTGGGAATAATAAGTTTCTATAGTTCTAACTAAGGTTTGATCATGGCATACCTCTTCAGCCTTCCTCTTCCGCACAAGGTCATCATGTAGAGAGAATTTTGGTCTGAGTTCATCAATAAAACAGATGTCCTTTTATCATCGTTTTTTTGGTCAATTATCAAACTACTACAAAGATGTACTCAGCTTTAGCTGTGTCCTACAGCCCTATTGCTCCATTATCTTAAAATGAATAACTTACCCTTGCATTATCTTGCTATAGTGTAACACACCAAGTTTTTGCTTAAAATAATTGCGGGCAAGTGTCCTGTCAAAATATGTGGTAAAATATAAGTCAATCATTACTTGATTACTTATCAAAATATGAGTGTTATATTTGAGCCACCACAATCAACAGTGAAGGCAGATTGCAAAAGAACTAAGAATCAAGAGGAAAGTTTTAGGAGAATTGAAACCAAAGAGCATCTGATACCTCATTTTAAACTAGTAATGTGAGTAAGTGAATTAAAATTAAGAGCTCACATGGATTTGAAGTGAAGCTTCATATCTGAGCTTTTTTGGCAGGCATGTTTCAAGAGGATTTTGTTGGTGAATACAGTGTTGAACTAGCATTTTAGAAGTCTCATGTACTGTGTAAAACTTACATGCTTTTTGTGGTTTCTTTAGTAACAACTACACTTCTTTCACGGAAAAGACATACTGTCTCTTTTAAGATCCAACTTTTGTATTGTAGTCGTAAGAAATCCCTAGGTTTGTCAGGGGTTGAATAGAGCCAAGAAGCATCAAACTTCCTCTCTTTGTATGGATCATTACAACCTGTGTATTACCTTGTATTACAGTGGAACTGAAAAACCATTCACTTTGCAAGAAGTAAAGGCCCAGTGACTTCTTTTTTTTTTAAAGAAATTTGCATTGGGATTGTGGGTCCAGAATGTATCTTTAAACAACTGCTTTCATTTCTTAGGTCCCCAAAAGTTGAGAAGCTCTGGACTGGAGTGCATCTGATAGAAGTTGTCACAAAAAAATAGTGAGTCGGTGCCCAGTTACTCCACTTAGCATAATAGAGAGAGGACAGGTTTTTTAAGACATTTCTCAGTTTATTTTCCCTGACCTTTCATCAGTGCCAACTTTCTTGATAAGGAGAAGTGTAGAGACGGCAGCTCTTGGAGTAGTGTAGCTCGTTTATGTTTCTCCTAATGACAGGCCTCAATTTGCATTCTCAGTGCTACCATAAAGGTAGATTTTTGATCAATAAGACTCAAAAAAAGACATGTTAAGTAGGAAAGTATTTTCCTACCTATTCTGTCTTGGTAGTGACCTGATTTGAGGCTATGTGACAGAGAAGAATTAGCTGCTAAAAGAAAGGATGTTGGGATGTGCAGAGAATTTTGAAGATTTGGGTGGGAATTGGGTGTGTATCTCCTGATCTCTTAATTGTGTTCATTGCTATGCTAGCATGAACTATCTATTCTGAGAGTGATTTTAGAAATAAAATGTCTCCATTTATTTGTTTGTGGGAAAGACAAAATAAAAATGAGATAAAATAAAATTGAATTTTCCCCAAGAGCTGTAAATCTGTATGATAGTGAAAGCTTAACAGTGTACACTGACACTTCAGGGTCTCTTTAGCTTCAGAAGTACATTGCTGGGAGAAAAAAGAAAAAAGAAAAGAGAAAAACTTCATTTCTCCTCTCCCCTCTGAATCTGAGAATTATCTCACCTATGCCCATATATCCTCAACTGTCACACTTGTGTTACCATGGAAACCCAGCTCCTTTCTTTGCTTCAGTGAAAGATGTTGGAAAAGGTGGGATGAAGTGGGAAATACACTGAATTCTGGGACTTTCTGACAATAGCAAGAAGCAAGTATGCAAGGAATTTAATGTAAACAAGTTAGTAGAGGGCATTCGTAATATGACCAGTGCTTTTCTTGGCTATAAGACCCTGATTCCTTTTGCTTCCTGTAAAAGCCTACATATCTCTGATTAACCATAAAGGGGAAGGACAAGTCAAATACATTTAGCACCTATGAAGTGCTACTGGTAATTACAAAGAGAGCAGAAAACATTTTCTTGGCCTCTCAGGCTCCTAATACAGTTGAGAAACAGAAGTATATATGAAGAGTGGAAAGGAAGGGGCAAAATAATTGTGTGTCTCTTTTGAAAATGTGATATGTCTCAGCACTTTAGAAAAGAAAAAGAATTAGAATGCAGAAATTGAGTATGTAAACAAATCAATGAAAGAAACCTTTTGATAGAGAAAAGAAATTTTTCTTTTTTTAAAAAATTAATTTATTTTTGGCTGCATTGGGTCTTTGTTGCTGCGTATGGGCTTTCTCTAGTTGTGGCGAGTGGGGGCTACACTTCATTCTGGTGCGTGGACTTCTCATGGTGGTGGCTTCTCTTGTTGCTGAGCATGGGCTGTAGGAGCATGGACTTCAGTAGTTGCAGCACATGGGCTCAGTAGTTGTGGCTCATGGGCTCTAGAGTGCAAGCTCAGTAGTTGTGGCGCATGGGCTTAATTGCTCTGTGGCATGTGGGATCTTCCTGGACCAGGGCTTGAACCCGTGTCCCCTGCATTGGCAGGTGGATTCTTAACCACTGTGCCACTAGGGAACTCCCAAGAACAGAAAATTTTCAATAGGCAATTTTCAGCAGAAAAAAAAAAAATCCATGAAGGAAAGGCTTAATGATTAAAATATAGGGGAGAAAAAAAAAAAAAAGAAAAACCCTGCAGAATCTTAAGAGCTTAAAGGTCCTGAGGAAAATAGCTCTAGTGTAATTTTTTGAATATAGAAGACCAGTCACAATGTTGCTTGCGTACCCTGCAGTTTCCCTTTACTTTTGGGAAAAAAAAAAAAAAGGGATGAATCAGGATTGATCATTGATGGTAGCGCTTTCCGTTCTGTACATAGTTCAGAAGTAGGCGCATGACTCAGTTCTTGCCATTGGTCTGGGAAGCAGGCTGCTAGGCTGGGGGATTTCCGGGATTCTGACAAGAATGAGTTAATATCCCCACTTTTGACATCATTTGCTTCCTGCTTTGCTCATTGAAATATGAGTATGTGGCCACCACCTTTGGGCTGTGATGCCTTATGGGTGAGTTTGAAAACCAACAAGCTTTGGATGGTTAAGAAGGAAGGGAAGAACCTAGTCCTGGATGACAACATTGAATGTCAAACCTATGTTGGAAATGCCCACCTTTGGACCATGGTTAAGTAAACAGCTAGTGTCCTTTGTTTTATGTTTGTTAGTTTAAGTCTGCTAGGTTTTCTGCATCTTGCAGGCAAATACATCTCAACTGTTACACAGAGTGTTAGGGATTTGAGACAAAATGGTGTTTTAAAAGATCAGCAATCATTTATGAGCACTTTCATTCTACTAATGAACTGCATGGTATTTCCAAGACATTATAATATTTATTGAGCACTTACTATGTTTATTATTCTAGGCCCCGAGGATACAACCATAGACAGATAGCCAAAAGAGCTTGAATTCTAGGAGGAGGTACAGACGTTATAAACAGAAGAGAGACGTTATAAACAGAAGAGGCAGGCATTAAGCAACTGATTACACATTTACATTATGTAATAACAGCTATAACTAATGCTAATATGGAGGAAAAAAAATCAGGGATTACAAGGGTGTGTAATAAAATAAAATATAAATAATAGAATATTATAAAATATATAACTAAATAACTGAATAACATCACAGAAACACTTTTCCAAGTACATGGTAATAGTATGTATCATTTATACATGAATTCCTAGAGGTCAAGAGAAACATAATAACCTGGAGCGGGTTTGGTCAGGGAAAGCTGTCTGAGAAAATTAATATGGAGCCATGTTTTGAAGGAAGTGGCCAAAGAATAGACTAGGTGGGGCAGAAGATGAGAGAGCAAAAGAAGAAAGCAGGAATGAGGCAGAGTGAAATAAGGGGAATACAGAATCACTTGATTCCTTAATTCCCTATAGCAACGCCATTCTAGGGACACCTATCAGGGAAAAAATCAGAAGCCAGAAGTCTCAAAGCAAGATTATAAAAAGTATGAAAATAATATAGGAAAAAACAATACAGAAGAAGAAGTAGAAGAGTACAAAGGTACATTTGAACTTAAGGCATTATTCAAAATAATGAATAATTTATAATGTGGGTGTCATGAAAAAATTGTCATAAGGGGTAATTATGGACTTGAGGACATCATGAAAGAGGGATTCACACTTTCACAAATAGAAGCAGGAAGAAAAATGAAGAGTAGCAAAAAATGAAAATAAACAGGAAAACAATTTTTGCTTATAGTTATTTTTTTCATGGTAGCTGTTATTGACATGCATTATGTAAAAATGAATGGGATTTGATTGAAAAGAAAAATTTCAACAGACCAGTAATATATAAAGATAGTCTTTTGGTAAATAATGTAACTTAAAATGTTTTTTGTAGAGTGCCTTTTTGTACCTTGCCATAGAAAAATCTTTTCAATAAAGTAGCTGCAAGGAATAATAAATTATAGCTTAGTGATGCATTTTGGAAGTAAAGAAACACATAGATGTACCAAATGTAATAGTATAGCAGCAATAAATAACCTGTAATAAAAATGAGAAGTTTGTCAGACATTACGTGGTTTTTGGTCAAATATAATTGTAGTAATTTTTCTAATGCTATTTTCTGTACAAATATAAGAACATTTTAAAATTAAGCCACAGTAGGCATATGAATATCTTGGTATTCATATAATGTAACTAATTTTTTACATTAGTTACATTATTATGAATAATAAAAATGTTTTGCCATTTCCAAATCACTTTTCCACATATCCAAGAAACTTTTTGTTTTTAATAAAAAATTTTAAAATAATTAGGAGCAACTCTACTAATATGTGATATGAAGATGCTGAACTAGGCTTACTGCTCCTTCCTCCTAGATGGCTGGAGTAATATGGAGGGTGAAACACCCTGCAATGAAGAAGACTATGGGAAAACCCAGGAATGAGGATTTTTTGTCGTTTTGAAATTGTCTGGGACTAGAAGAGGGTAGTGGGGATGTGGGCCTGGGGCAATAAGCAGCCAGCCACGCTGTGGGAGAAGAAAGCAGGGAAAGAACTGTTGAAAATCTGCTAGTACTTCTCCTTTCCGCTGCCTTGGGAAAATCAGTGCCTGCCCCTGCATGCATTGTGACTCTGAGCTCTGGACCATGTAGACTCCATAAGGAAATCAGGGCCGCACAGAAGCCCTGTGCTTGTGAGGAGCCATGAAACTCTTTGGCTCCCAACCAACTTAGGGCAGTTGCCCACCAACACCTCCTTCTCTAACTTCCCTGGCAGCTGGCGAATCACAACCTAAGGACTGCTCCTCCTGAGGTTGCTTCTCTCTGGGGAAACAGAAGGTGAATTCTTGATCTAAGAAGTGATTGGCTGTGATTTTCTTGGGTTTAGGGTTCTTCACTGCAGAGCTCATTTACTCTCACCCCTGAGCAACTTGGCGTGTCTCAGACTGGGGTCTAGTAAAATGATGAACCATCCTTGTTTACCTAGGACTGCCCTGGGTTTAGTCTAGCATCCCAGAAAACCCCTAAGTGCCAGTGGGTCATCCTCGACCTATCCTCAACACATTTCCAGAGGAAAATGAATGCATGTGCAAATTAGATTATTTTAAGAAGTACAGTTATTTTAAAAGACACACACACACACACAAATAGTAGATTATGGTTTCCATCAGAAGCATAAACATTAGAATGGACCACAATTTATAAATTAGCCTGATAAACATACTAAAAAAAGATAAGGGATAATGTTAGCTGTATGAAAACAAACAAACAAAAAGGAACCAAATGGCCATATTACAAATGAAATATATCGTAGCTGAAATAAAGAACAAGAGAGATAGGATAAGATAGCAGAAGAGACACAGTAAGGAGCACGTGAGAACATTGGAAGACCAGAGTTCATCTCCCAAAAGGAAGAAGGGAAGTGCAGAGAAGTAGAAAAGGGATAATGGAGAGCAGACGTAGAAGTGGCAGTATACAGATA